TATTAATACTAAAGAGAGTTAACACGAAAATGTTGATGTCGGTTTAGAAATGGGGTAAGAAAATGCCAACCCTATTTCTCTAGCAGAAGTGAGTAGAGAATAAATATTAGAAATTTTCAAAACCCACTTAAAAAAATATAGTGAATGGACAAATAAATGCACAATTACCGGTCTTTTTGCATGGAAAGAAAAAAAGAGGTAACGGTATACTAAAAGAAAACCTTATTAGTAAACATCTCTCTCAAATGAGATTCGATACGGGGAAACACAAATCTTATTAGTATCGAATTCAACAATTTCAATTACTTCCACTATTTGGACGAAATCAAACAAAGATAAACTTGCAAAGTTAGTAGATGTTGAACATCTTTCATTTAATTTGGTAAAAAAATAGGTTTAAAAATTTATTGCTAAAATATTTTAAATTCTTGCTTTAAATATGTTAAAAGAATCATTCTCACACACACTATACAAAAAATTTATGATAAAGTAAAATGAGATTTGTCAATTTTTTTTTTCTAATTTTAATGAACATGTAGTCATTTATAATGATGTATGGAGTGATACTTGTTTTAAACATTCTTACATAGGTATAACACATCATTGGGTTAATGAAAATTGATTGTTATAAAAAAGATTAATTACTTTTAGAAGTTTTGATGAAAGACACATTGCCAATAATATTTATAAATTAATAACTACTATTTTCAATGATATAATTTACTTATCAAAATTTGTTTTATTTCCTTTGATAATGCAAGTGCAAACATTATTTCCATTTCTGATTTAAAAAGAGTTTTGCAAACCAATACTTCATGAACGTTTTTGTCATACTTTAAATTTGTGCGTGCAAGATATTATTAAATTTGTTGATGATCTTAACCTAATTAAAACAATATTTTCTTTCTTATGATTTCATCTAAATAGTTTAAAAAATTTGAAAAAATTTGTAAATAAAATAGGATGTCACCCAAAAATTTTTCAAAAGATGTTCTAACTCGTTAGAATTTAACTTATCAATTGCTAATTGAACATTATCATTATAGAATTTTATTATTACGCATGTCAATCAAGTGACATTATATTTAGGATAATTGGATATTTGTAATAAATTAATAGAAGTTTTTAAAAAAATTTATAATAATACCCAAATATTACATGATGTTTATTATTTTACTAGTCATTTATTATTAACTTATACTATTAGTATTATTGCTGTTTTATATCAGTATAATAATTATTATAATATTTTTTTATTTAGAGCTATTAATACAATAAAAGAAAAATAGTTAATCTATTTCAAAAAATTTCTAAACTTAATCTGATTACTATAATTTTAGATCATTGTTTTAAAATAGATGATTTGCGTGATTTATTAAATATTATTTTAATATTATAAAAATACGTTGTAATGTTCCAAAAATAGTGGAAAATGTGTGAATGATATTTTCAAAAAAATGCATGTTAAATATTGTCAAATATATAAAAAATTACCCTTATCTAAATAACGGAATTATTATCAACTCAACAGTTAAAAACAAATAAAAGTAAATGGTTAATGATGCTCTTATAGATAATAAAAGACCAAGAGAATCCTTATCAAACTCAAATGCAGAAAATTTAGATTAAATTAAAAATTATCTCACTATTTCTTTTGAGTTGAGTGAGTAAGTGCATGTTTAAAAGAAGATTTTGAAATTCTTTGATAGTTGACGTAAAAATCAAGTCAATTTCTAATCTTTTCATGTATGACAAAATATACTTTGGCGCCACCTATTTCAACAGTTTCGGTTAAACAAGTTTTTAAATATAAAAAGTCATGTATTAGATAAAACTGTCCGAGTAGGCTTCTAACAAATATTAAATTTCAATCATGCCTTGGTAATTGGACGAAAATCATATGTAGACAGTAAGAATTTATGATTGAGTTGAAAAAAATGGACGACGAATGAATAACAATTTGAACCAGAAAATAAGGGTAACACTAATTTAATATAAGAAAATTATATAAATTTTGATTTTTTTAAATTTTAAAAGAATACGTAAATAGCTTAATTGATACATAATTAAATTTAAATTTTTATTTTATTATTTTTATTTAACATTTGGAAGATGTTTAATATATGAAATTGTCAGTACAGTTAAACTTAGCAAAAAAGTGAATCTTCTTTCATGTGGCCATACTATCTTACAAGTGCAATCGATTGCGTGTTGTTCTTCAATGTACGTTGCACACGTGACTTCACGTAATCATATTTTCTCTAAAATTATTTTAATTTTTAAAATTAATCTCTGAATCTTTCCCCCTAAATTTTTAATAAAAATAAAATAATTAGAAAAATATTAAGTTACACAATTTAGGGAATGTTTGGTTGAAGATTAAAAATTTAGTTTTTTAATAAAAAATTTGTAAATATAAATTTGTCTTAGATAATGCGGAAAACAAGTTTGATTTTTAAATTTTCATGAAAATAAGTTTTTGTTATACGTAAAATAAACACCACAAAATATTTAAAATTTAAAAAGCTTTAATAACAAAACCTATTTAATAATTAGTAGCTTGCATTTTTTAACTAGTATTCATGTAATCCAAAAAAATTAATTTACTAAAAAATTTCATTTCAAAATTCTCAAAAAGCATAATTTTTTGTACTGGTTTTGGAATCAAAATTTTAAATGATTTATAAGTTAATATATAATTTTTTTGTTAAAACTAAATCAGAACTGAATCAGACCGAACTAGAAATAGAATCGAATCAAATCGAACGGTAAAACAAACTGGAAATGAGCTGTGAATGAATTAGAGATAGAACTGTGAACTGGCCTGACTCGAAATTATGAATCAATTTAAACTCAAACTGGAATTAGAATCGGAACCAGAATTAGAACTAAAAAATGATAAATCAAATCGGCCTTCAAGGCTTCAACCTTGATTCATATTTTTTTGGACAGTAACTAAGCGGTTTGATTCTGGTCTAGGCCGGTTCATGAACCATGAACAAGCCTAGCCCACAGAAATGTAATCAGTCTGAATCCCTTCTTTCCTGAGCCAATTTGATACCAAAACAGGGGTGAGCCTTCTTGCCCTTCCTTTCTTTTTCCACTCAAAATGGATACCAAACATAGCCTTAAGTTTTATTCTCCTTCTACTCTCCCTTCCAACTTCCTTGATTGAAAAAAAAAAAAAATTAAACCGAGCTCATAGATCTTGCTTAGTTAGAAAAACTTAGTGGATTCATTTCATTTTTATAATAATTTTTTTTTTAAAATTTTTTTGGAGTCCTGTGAAACTAAACCAACCAAATGAATAGTCCTATAATAAGTTTACAAAAATTGGAAGTTGAAAGATTAAATTGAGAAACTATAATAAAGGACTAATTTGTATATTGCGCATTTGAATTAAATTTTTTTAGGATTTTGTACCCTAGAAATATAAATTTGGTATTTTATACTCTAACTTAGAATCCAGCACTGGATCATAATTTTGTATTTAATATTTAAAGGGTATAATTGAAATTTAACAATTTTCTCTCTAATTTTTTTGGGTTGCAATGTGCAAATATTTAGTTAATTTGCAAATTATACCATGACATTAAATCTTATAATTTTATAAATGGAGTCTTTTCACCTGAATTTTTTTAAAAAAAGCAACTTAAAAATATTTTATAGAAAAGAATAATTTTATCATTAATTGAGAATTCTATAATAGCATATAAGATTTGTTTATTTAATGTTTTAACTTAATTTAACTATAAATAATACATCTAATTAAACACCCTATAAATAAATAATCAAACCAACTTTATTTAAATTTGTTTTATCTAAATTTATTTTATTTTAATTTTGACAATCATAGGCTACCTTTTTACCAACCAATCATAGATTGTTAGTCAGGATTTGATTAATTATTTATAGAGAGTTTTTATAAGAATATTTACAATTAAATTTGTTAAAATCTTAAATAAACAAGTCTATATTTTATTAGTAAGAATTTTCAATTAAAAATAAAGTTGTTCTTTATGTAAAATATTTTTATGTTGCTACTTTTCTATAAATCTAAGTGGAAAAGCTCTTTTTTTAAATTATAAAATTTAGTATTGAGATACAATCTGTAAAATAACTAAATATTTGTATATTACACTCTAAAAAAAAAAAGAAAAAATTGTTAAACTCCAATAATACCTTTTAAAGATTAAGTAAAAATATCTTGCCTCACTGAGCTGAGTGTCAAATTGTTAAAAATTAAAATATAAAATATGAAATTTATATTTTGAGTATAAATATTAAAAAATTTTAATTTAAGGTGGAATCTGCATATTAGACTAAAACGGAGGGATTAATTGAGAATTTTCAAATTGGCAGGATGGCGTGAGTGTAAATTAACTTTCAAACTTTTCTTTTATCATTGGTTCAATGGCCATGTCATCACGTGAATACGAATTAGCCGGTCCAGTAGCAGGGGTTATTTAAGCATTTTCCTATTGTATATAACCGAGCCGTAGGTTTGAGTTGGACCATAACTAAACCGAGAATTTCAAGGATATGGGCGGCTCACTAGTCTCCCTGTTTCAATTGAAACTTTATCCGGTTCTCTCTACGCGCGGTTCGTTTTAACGTCCGACTCGTTATGGTTCGAGTCGAGTCTTTGCCAACGTCAAAACAATTCTAGGGCTTGGTTTTCACGAGCTTCTGCTGGCGTGTTCGGATCGCCCAACTAGTTTCCGGTTAGATCTTAGGTCAGGTATGGCTCCGAAAGCTGTAACTTCTCCCTTTCTCTCACAATTTCACAGCATTGATGGCTGTTTTTGGTGGAGAACTAGTAATAATAACTATTAGCCGAACAGAACTTTGTGTTTACACAAAAATCGTCCTCTTCTTGCTTCATGTCTAGTGAGGTTGCAATTCGATAATTGTGTCGTGCATGTGGTTGGCTTGGCTTTGTACTCATTTCTTTTTGCGTAATTTGGTGGATTAATTTTGGATTTTAAAAGATTGTACAGGAATGGAAGCAGATGCGCTTGAACGATTGATGAATCAGATGCAGGATTGGTTAAAACAAGCTGAAGAGTTCATCCGTCAGACACCCCAGACTCAACTTTACACAGCAATTGGGGTTGTTTTGTTGACTGCAGTTTTGCTTATATTAGGTATTTTGTGTTCCAGCTGTACGTTTGCTTATATTTCTAAATAGGTCCGATTTTTATTGGATTTGACCACTCCAAAGGTTTCCTTGACAATCAAGGAGTTAAAATGCACTTTAATTTTCTTTCTTATTTGGCTGCTGTAATTGTCTAGTTTCTTGTTGCTTGGCCTGCTTCAAAACGGAACTCAATTAAAGCACAAAGACTCCTTTGTCTCTTATCACTACTGAGAATCTCGTTTTCCATTGAACATGAGAGCCATGGAATTTATGAAAGTCATATTCTCCTGATTTTCTGTGCAGTTCGTTTGTTCAAACGCACAAAGCCTGACACCATTGTTTTGACGGGGCTTAGTGGAGGTGGGAAAACTGTCATGTTCTACAGGTAAGTGTTTAGAGTATGTTACTAATTTATAATTATTAGTTAGTCCCATGCGTGGGATGCAACATGAATATCATCCATTGAACATCCCTGTTTCCCTCATTCAACGGTCTGTTGGTATCTTTTATATGTCAATCCAGTATGTAGACATAACCTAGAGCTCGTAATAAAAATGGTCAAGTAGTTCAAAAATTTGTAAAGTTACATCCAAAACAATAAGAGTCAGATTCACCTTTTGACTTCTTTGGTTAGTATTACATATATATGTGCAAATGAAAACAAATCTAAGCTAATTATACATGAAGGTCGAGATTTTTGTTTAACAGCCTTTAGTACAAGCATATCATGGATGAAAACAAAAAAGCATAAGATGTTTGTAAAGGACTATGGAAGATAACAATTTTGCATTATTATGGAAAACATTGCCAAGCACCTAATCAACTTAGAAAATAACTGTTACAGAATAACTCATCATTATCAAATAGGGCTTGTAGCAAAAAACTGTTTCTCCTTCCTTGTTTGTTTACAATTCCTGCTTCTCATGTTTGAGCTTTCCTAAGCTTGGGCACCCTTTTTAATTCACCAATAATTTTCCAGATGTTCCTAAACTGAAAATGGAAGAACAGAAATTGATCAAACATTGAACATGAGACTCAAAAGAATAAATGCTAAACAAAATCTCTGAAGTTAGAATACATAGCAGCAGATTAAATAATTAAAAGATATGACAGTTTTATTTCAACATTACCTTAAAACAACCCTACCAGCTCACAAGTGTCCCCAAATCTTTCACAGAGTTTTCCCTGGCAAAGGAAACTGGTACCTTAGGTTTAGTTGGCTTGTCCTTGTCCAAATAATGTTTGATAACATGCTTAACATATCAACGTCAAGAAATACCATGGCTGGTTCAAAGTCATCCAAGATTTGTAGCTATATTGATATCTGAATACAAACTAGAACTGAATCATTTTGGTGGAGTACCAAACATCTTGATCATATTGAAATTTTCTTTTAAGTTCAACAATTTCCCTGTTTTACAACCTGAATCGAGCAACTAGCTTATTTATGAAGCAGTATGGTGCATACAATGCTCCACTTCTGTTCCTGTGGTATTACTGGATCTGATAAAAAGGAGGGAATAGTTAATGTAACCGGGAGTTGGTTCGTGACTGGGCATGTTGCAAAACAAACATGGAAGATAACAATTAATGTTTGGGGATGTCAGTGCTACACCTCCTCTTGCAGTAATTTGCAATTGTCAGCACTGAGAGGAAGAGTTATTGTATCTTGCTGGTGAAGAAGCAATGGTGTGGCTGAAGATACATTTTACAAGAGAGAGGGTTGGAACATACATGTGGCTGTGTGGAGAAGAATTCACCTGGGAACTGTGGGAGAGCTGATGGATTGGAGGAGTGGGGAGGAGATCTAGTATTTTCACAGGTATTAACTGTAGAAAGGCAATCTTTGACAGATTGAAGTTTGGCCTAGTTTTTTCAAGAACTCCATATGTCAGAGGTTGTCAATCCTTTCATAAGGGTGGATAGATGAATGCTTAGTTTAAGGGTTTTGTTCTATTGGAGAGGAGGAAGCATGAATAGTTATAGAAGTGGAATAGTGGGTCCATCTTGAACATTTTTGGGTGCTGATGTTAGTTGAGCATAATTGCATGATATATTTTCCATTATGGAGCTCTGCTTTTGTTCCCAGTTTGGACATAAAATTATCTCACAAAAGAATTTGAGTCATCTGTTAGTATTTTTATATTCTTAATGGTCTGACAAAGTTGCTGTCATTTTTTTCCCCCTTGCTTCCCCCGTTAACTGCATTACTCTAGAAGCTTATCATTTAGGCATGTGTCATGTAGCTATATTCAATTTGCAGGAGATGTGAGTCATCCATAAGCATTAGATGAACTAGTTTAATTCTACCTAAGATCCTAGCTTCATTCCTCTCTGATCTAGTTTGATGGATGATTACCTTTATTTGTGCTTCATTGTTAGTTTCATTCTTCAAACTTCTGAATTCTGGTTTGTGCGCGGTGAATTTTGGTCCAACTATTTTCCAGCTCCAAGATGGTTCCTCTCATCAGGGTACTGTGACATCGATGGAGCCAAATGAAGGCACTTTTGTACTGCATTCTGAAATGAGCAAGGTAAAATATATTTTCTTTGCTTTGTCGAATCATCTTTGCACTAAATATTAATATATTATTAGGCATATCCATTTTCAGTTTCTGCTTATTTGCCTGCAAATCTTTATTGCTGTGTTCACATAAATGCATCAGTAGCAATTCTCTCTTCCTATCTCGTCTTCTCACCATTATGCAGATTGTCAAACTCTGAGTTTCAGTTGAAGTTTTAACAATCTCACTATGTGTAATCGACAGAAGGGTAAGATAAAACCTGTTCACGTTGTTGACGTTCCTGGGCATTCTCGTCTTCGACCCAAACTAGATGAATTCTTGCCTCAAGCAGCAGGCATAGTTTTTGTAGTGGATGCTTTAGAATTCCTAGTAAACTGCCGTGCAGCTTCAGAGTATGTTCATCATGCATGTTATATATAGATTCAATTATGTACATGAATTATAATTTTTTAATCATGATATTTTATTTGCAAAAGGTATCTCTATGATATATTGACCAAGACCAGTGTGGTGAAAAAGAAAATTCCAGTTCTTATCATCTGCAACAAGGTAGATAAAGTAACTGCACATACAAAGGAGTTTATACGCAAACAGCTGGAGAAAGAAATGTATGCCTGAAGCTCAATTCTCACTAGATGTTTCGATTATTTTATTACCATTTCTCTGTATGTTTAATTATCTTATTTTTCTAAGTGCTAGTAGATAAGAGGTTGAAGAGATCACTGAGCTACTATCATTTAGTGCTAGTAGATAATAATGGATGATTGAGAAGAGATTATTGACAATTACGCAACTTTTGCTCAAAGAAATCACTAAAAACTTAGCAAGAATTTTGCAAGTGGTAAAAGAGGCTTGAATTGGATGTTTTGGCTCACTTGTTTTCTGATACTTTCTACTAGTGTGACCAGAGATAACTAATTCCCTTGTGAATTACTCTTTGGTAGATGCAATTCTATTGATGATTCCTTAAATATAAGTAATTTGAAGCAAATCATATACTCTTCTAGCATTTTTTTTGTTTATATTTTTCTTTAATCTCTTCTCTCTGTTATTTTGCAGAGACAAGCTCCGTGTATCAAGAACTGCCGTTTCATCAGCAGATGTTACTAACGAGTACACACTTGGTACGCCTGGTGAAGCCTTTGCATTCTCTCAGTGCCAGAACAAAGTTACAGTTGCAGAAGCTTCGGCCTTGACTGGTGAGATATCTCAGCTGAAGCAGTTCATCAGGGAGCACGTGAAGGCTTAATTGAGCATTCTACTCCATATACAGGTTTCATGGTGCGTCTGTTCAAATCAATTTGATCTTTTCTGTCATATAATAGAGTAGCAATTTGAGACGTGGCTGCTGCCCAACGAAACTGTAAAAAATTATTGAGAAGTGTGGTAGTTTGTTTTTATGTGCTTGGAGGTCATGTTTTTTGATTGTATTTGAGCTGTGATGGATGGAATATCAGATAAATTTCAGGTGCCAGCTAGAGATTTGGTCCAATCAATCTTTGATTTTCCTTTGATATTAACCTATATCAAGCTAAAACTTGCAGGCATTACTCCCATCTCCACATTCTTTGTTACATCACAAGCACTCACTGTTTTCTCTGCAATCGTCTCTATCCCTTAATCAATCATAATCTCTATTCGATAATCAATGGTTCATATTTTTATCTCGTTCAGAGTCACTAGTCTTCTCGCTCTCTCTCTCTCTCTCTGCCCCCCTCCCTCCCTCCCTCCCTCCTCTTGTTAGTTTATGAAATGCAACGTTTCTTACTGGTGGGATGGGCGCCTCTACATGTTGGGGATGGTTTGATGTGTCTACGACTTCTTGATAACCTTTTCCTCTTTTGAGGGTGGATTGTACACTACTCTTGGGAGTTACAACTACTTAAAATAAATAGATAAACTGCTTTCATTAACGGTTGCCTCTTCTTGCTCTGCTGCGAAATTGTGAACTGGTAGTGGATGAAATTCACCATGGATATTTGACATGCCAGCGGCAGCATCCAAGTACGGTGGAGAATGTGTGCTACAAGCTTCTGACTCTTTATGCCTTATCAGCCGAAGAAAATTATAATATACGCCCAATTTATCTGCCATAATAAAGGTTAAATAATGGGCCATTTAAAAGTCGACTCCCACTCCACCCCTTAAAAAATAACTTGACTACTGATCTTTCCCATGTACAGTAATGTCGTGTTCTTAAGTATCAATCTGGATTCATTAGGCTGGCAGAAACCTGGGCATTTATAACCAAATGTCCAGCTTTGCCATTTCTTTTTAAACAAACACAACAATGCCACTGAAGAAACAAATATGATTTAGTAGATCTGTTTCTCATATCACTAAAGAAATAATAAACAGCAATAATTTTACAGAAATATACACATCTTGTTTCCTCAATTCTGAATTCTCTACTGCTTCTACACATCATCGTATCCCAGAAAGGAAATGAAGAAAATAATAAATCTCTGTCCCGCAGTTTCTTTCCTTTCCTTTTTTAATGTCAAATACGTTTATAACACACTTTCACGAAAAGATGCACCAGAAAGATAGTTCGGAAAAATACATCAATTGTCTCAACTCCTACTTAGAAAGCATCCGGGAATAGTCTTGACAAGCAGAAGTGCTTCATCCTTACTACAAGAGCAAAGATGCCATAGCATGGGAGATGCATCGACCCTACTGCCACATACCTGCAAAGTTCACAGTTGAAGATACAATGTGAAAGCTATTGCTAACTCATGTTAGCTTTTTCATCCATTTGTGCTGCGATTAACCCACCCGGGAATAAAAGGTGAAACCTGGTGGAAGTAAATTCTTTAACATGGCTCCCTTGATAACCATGGTGCTTTTCGGGCAAGATGGGCTACTTGTATTATGGTGGGCCAAATGTTTTAGCATATATAAACTTCACAAAGATTTATTACATTTTCATGGAAGAAACAGAAAAATTAAATTTAATTGAGATCAAAAAAGAAAAAATTAAACTTAATCGAGATCAATTTTTGCCTTTGAGTAAAATATAAGTGGACCAGTTTAATCACAGACCACTTGGTTAAATGTCCACAAGGTTCCCACTGATCATGAATTATGATAAATGTACCATTGGCAGAGCTTCCAAGAGTAATACCATCCACAAGGACAGACGTCCCACCTGAACAAGCATGTAGCTTGTATAAACAACTCTGCCTGCTTATATCACATGTTTGAATGTCTCATTCTTTGGTCTTATATATTACATTTTGGATCTAAACCATTATTCAGAATAGCACTATTGGAGTTTGGTTCATGGGAGAAGCTGGCTACTCCCATGTGCTTGGTTCCAAGAGTAAGAAGCCACTGAAGCTTGCTCGAGCAAGCTTCTCAGCTTCTTTCCATTTTTTGGGTTAATAATTGAATAAAGAGCGTGTGCATGTGTTTGGATTAAAAAAAAGGTGATATTTATTTGTTTATTCTTTTTGGTTAACCAAAATATCACACATCAATAGGCTAGCCTTTTTCATCAAACCAAACTACAAAAAGGGGCTTTTTTGTGAAAGACCTGAAGCCCCAAAAACCCCTCACTTGCACATATTCATAGGAATAAGGTATAGTATATTCATACCAGATGGGAGCATATGGAGATGACAAATCAAGAAATGAATAAGGCCACCTGTAACATAGAGAACAGTTATAATGAGCAAAGAGTAGATGTTACACATATTGATAGGTGAAGAGAACAAAGAAAGCAGACAAAATAAAATAAAGAAATTGAGGCGATGCGAAAGACCAGGAAAAAGAATCCAACATACCACATCGAAACGCAAGCATGGAGAATCCATTGGAAAGTGACAAATGCCCCCGTCCACAAAATAAAATAAGATATTCGAAAGAAAGGAAACCGCTGGAAAGAGATAAAACATTCCAGTTGATCATGAGTGGGATTTAAAAAAATAGACAAGCACCAAAATATTAAACAAACTGTAACTCACCAAAGAATTCAAAACTGCATCACCAAGTAGGAAAACTGCATTAAGTGAGTGCAAACAAACATCCATCTACAACCAAAGAACAGATTGTCAATTGTTCCATGAAGGACAATCCAGATGTATATGAAATGTGAGTTTGCTTGAATAGGTTTGTTATACTTATCTCCATGAAAATTTCTTGCAAGTTTTCAGTTATTTATCCAAGACATTACTGCATGTATTCTTATTAAACTTATGTTTAGAGCTAGTGCAACTTTTTTTTATTGAGGCTGTTTCACTATCTTTTTGGAAGCAATTAGCATAAATTTAACCCATCAGTTACACACATGGGAACTAAAATGATGGTAAGCAGGTTTTAAAAGTAACACCTCAATGTTATCCAGAAGCATAAATGTACTCGAATTACCACAATTTGACCAGTTATTGAAGTTTCTTTTCTCAAGGTCGTAGAAATAAATGAGATGAATAAAATCTTCAATAATTACCAAATAATAACAAGATCTTTCTCATTATAAAAATCATTGAAATCTTAATTTCTGTAGACATCATATGGTTCATTGCATTAAAATTTATATAGTGCAGAGAACAGGCACCACTGTTTTTCCTAGCCACTAAATCTGCACAATGTCTTGCTCACTATTGTCGACCCACATAAACTGTGTTTTTGGTTTTTCTCTGAAGTCAACCATATTAGTGGACTATATTTTAGGTTTTCTTTGAAGTCAAGCATGTTAGTGGCTAAGAAATACTCAAATAAGACATCTGTTATTAGAAGCTAAATTTTCTTTTGGCACTCCACACTAAAAGTAATTTAGCTCATTACAATGCCAAGACATGTGACTCTAGAGAAAGAACAAACAATAAGAACTCAAATTCTGAAACTTACAAAATTCAACCTGTAATCATCAGATGTCAAAAATGGATAAATCACGAACCAAAAGACACAATCAGTAAGTGTCACTGCACCTGCACAAGTCTTTTCAAGAAAGAGACAGAAAAGAAAATTGAAGTAAGTACTTCTAAAGATGGCAAGAAACCATAGATAACGGCATCATGGTCCACGGGTCAAAGGTTTAACCACGAAATATTGTATGTTGCTTCCTTCATATAATCAATCTTATTAGCCACTTATACTATAGAGATGATCTTTTTCTTTTATTTTTTAGTATTTTTCTTTACAGTAGCATTGATCAAAATGAAACATTTGATTACATAGAATGGAGGAACAGGTCACACCAGCAAATGCTGGGACAGCTATAGAAATATATGTGCACATTGCATGACAAAGTCAAGTTGGAGAGATCACTCTTGGGAATATCAAGGAAACCGAGAGCTCTTATTTATTATTATATTTTGGGGGTTGGGTGCTCAAAAAATATAGCTTATACATGGGATAAAGTTTTCAGGCAACAAATGAAGTAACAAAATTTTCAATTACTTCAGATGAATAAGCCAGACAACTAGAATTAGAAATTATAGCCCCAAAAAGCATGAAAGGTTAAATCTTTAGCCATATTAACTTAATTCACATCCAGCAAAGGGCTTAAGCAAGTTCATTTCCTATACACCTTTATAAATAATGTTTCAATTCCTCGTTTAAAAATGGTGTAAGAAGTCAGTTCTAAAACAGAATCCCTGTAAACATTTTCAGCTGGCTTAACAAGGCAAGGGACAAATCCCCATAAAATGGCACTGCTACTTGCCATTAACTTACACAATATAAGGATTGAAAAGACTATATGCAGCAAAATAACAGTTTGGATGCAGTTTGTTTCCAAAGCCAAAATCTGCAAGTTAAGTCAAGCGACAAAATCATTAGCAAATACTTGCCTGGTAAATAATTTGAAAGCCATAGCCCCATGTACTAGCAACTCTATGAACAATAGGTTCTACATATTCTACATGGGAGTTCAAGCCTTTGGACATGTTCTGAGTATTGGCATTCTTTTCTAGTATTGGAGTGCCCTGTTCGGCATCTGAAGTAGCAGAATCAACCCCATTACTGCCAGAATTATAGCAACAGTGGCAACACCCACAGATGGAGAATGCAGAAGCAAGCTACAACAAAAAGCCAATGGAAAGCATAAGAAGTATATAACAATAAGCCCGGAAAATATAAAGTTGATTATCAGCATAGCATACAAATTTGAATTAAAAAGGAGATGCATCATATGGTTGATAAATGGTTCTCACAGACTCTGTTGGTTGATAAATCATTATCTTTTAACATTAACAAAAGCAGAAAGCATTGACATAAGCATACATAATCAGAATAGAAGACATCTTCTGAATACTCCGGAAACACTACAAATCAAAATGCTACTTTGGCACTCTAATTCTGACAAATCATATGAGGGAAAAAAAAATGGTGTGAATATGAGGTTTATAGGCATGGATAACATACCCCAAAATATATGGTCACCAACGTAAATGTCCACCTGTGACGAAATAATAACAATTAGAAACAGAAACAAAACAATTTGAGAAGTTGGCAAAATTTCTCTCTAAATTTAATCAATCATTCAGCCTTTCTTTCAGGTCCAAGAAGGTTTCTAAATCCTCACATAAAGTAGTATTCAATTAAATTGCAAATTCAACTCTGAATACTGACAGATCATACAAGCAAATATTATTTTATTCTTCAAAATATTGGCCATTTTTTGCTCTGCTAATATGGTACACCAAATGGATTATTGTTTTTTCACATATAAAACCTTAAATTAACAGGAAGTAGACAGCCTAGGCCAACGATTAATACCAAAATATTCAAAGGGTTCCAAGTCCCAGTGATATGTTTGAAAGCAAGGACTTGGAAGTCATGTGGAATGTGTACTCTAGTTGGTTTAACAGTCTAGCTTTTGGCAGTATGCCCGTTTAGTTGCAAACCTTTTTAGCTTATGCATTTGGTTTTTACATCCAACAAGTCTGGGAGCCAGAAAACTGCAGCTTTTAAGGTTTTCGTGGCTTCTAGACTTTTTTTGGCTTAAAACTTAAAGCTGAATACATAAACCCCAGAGACTATGCAAGTCTCCAATGGAAGACACTATCCACTCCCTCTCGTACCTCACTGTGGCATTATTAGTCCCAATCTTGGGAGAACTTTAAATCTTCATCTAACACCCATACATTTCCCTACTTGTCCTACCACTTAATCCTAGGTCAAATCAAACATCTTAGAATACAGCCTACAAACTTCCACCTTATCCAATCTAACCTTATTGTATCCCATGAATCTCACAACCATATATAACACCCCTAATTCTAAATAAACATTACCAATGATCCAATATCCCCCATAACCCAAGCCTTGAATCAAACATGCCTTAAAGTACAGCAAAGAGAATTAGAATCACCCATACTAGGAAAATGTTAAGAAAGAATGCCCAGTTAGTAAGATAGGGCTCCCAGACAAGAATCACCAACAACTCTCAGAAATAAAAATCAACTTTGAAGGGTTACGTCACTTACTGGGTATAAAAGAAAAATATGCCACCTCCATCAAGAACAACATTGGTAGTAAGCAATGCTAAAAGCAGAATGAAGGCAGTAATTCTATAAGCAAGCAGCCAAACAGGACGGATAGTTTTCAAGGATGTCACCCAAGCATCATCCTTGTACACAGAACCAACCGTCTCTTGAAGATCGTCTCTTCTCTGGGTTTTTGATTTTTTGGGACCCTCAAATTTCCATATTAGAAATGCTGATGCGACCATAGTTGTAAAGACCCATACTGCACAGAGAAAAAATCTCCAGTTCAACCAATAACTTGGGGCAGTTGTATCAGTTGTCATGATCTGGCCACCAAGTATGTTATCACAATCTTGTAGGGGAATTTATGGAATCACATACACATGCTGCCAAAAAAAAAAAATGTTATTCTCATAATATAATAAATAGCATTATATTATTTCAAATGAAGCAAACTATGAGATAAATAATTGGTCATAAGTTCAAGCACAACACTTTCCCAGCAATTCTTAAATTGGACAAGACAAGACTGAAGATCAAGATCTAAAATGTCAATTGTTAATAATTAAATTACCAAGTCCTAGGAATCAAAAATTTTGATTATACACAAAGGGGATAAGTAATAAGGTAGCTTAATTAGTCACGGAATAGAATGACATAAAACGCAGCTAAACTAATCCTTATATGCCAAGTATGCTTTTTATGAGTCAAAACCCTGGCTGGACTCAAAATAACACCACTAATCTTGGATGTCAAGCTGAAAAACCAGTCTAAAATAATAAGAAAAAACATAGGTAAATTCATGAGCACGTTAACACAGAAAATAACAGAGCAAACAAACATCATAAGCAGAAACTTGGGGCAAAACTCTCTCCATAAATAGGGGAAAAAATCCAAGTTTCAGAGATACAATCACAATTGTAACGAATGCAATCAAGGACCATTCACCAGCCACATCTCTCTAGAACATAATAAAACTAAAGCAACGACAAGGATTCCAGAATCGTAATGGTCATAGCAATATGTCTGGAAAAATTTAGAAAAACCTGATATCTCACTTTCGATGGGTATTGAATAGAGAAAAGAAATAAATTTTAACTACATCAACATGATATCAAAGGGTTATTCTTCATAAACTCCACTGAGCACGTTCACAAAGAACGAATAACACAAGCAATCCCCTCCCTCTCTTTGTTTCTGTGTATAAGCTATATAGACACTAATCCACATATATCTTCTGTACCACCAAGGTTTTGGATCACCGGATACAAGGAAACAAAATTTCATTAAAAAAGAAAAAAGAGAGAGGGGGAAGGTTCTGAATTACCTTTTTTCTCCTGAGTAGTGTCTCTCAAAATCGTACAACGGGTAATTCCAGCAACAAGAACATCAACAAACCCGTCAACATTTATTAAACGGGTCTATAAGGGGGCCAGTGATTTGAGTATGATGGGGCTATAACACTTACTGAGGAAGGTTCTGGGCTATATCGGGACGAGTGGCTGAGCGGGCATTACGTTGGGCACAGAGACAGAGAGAGAGGGGAGAACCACGATTACACAAGACTGGAGAAACACGAACCGACAAAAATTTTGACGAGTCAAACAACCAATCAAAGTTGACTTCGCTGCTCAAAGGGACGTAAGGGCCCAAATTACCTTTAACAGCCCCGCACTAGTGAGAGTTCTACTTTGCCCCTAATGTTTTAACTATGACATCAAAAAGCCCCAACTTTAAGTCAAGTTTGCAATTTCTTCCTTTTCAAAGCAAGCGCAATCACTTAACAAGTTAACACAGTTACACAGCCATCAACGACATGTGAAACCACAATTTGACTCTTAGCGAAATTTTTAGACTTTCACAATAAAAATTGTGAGAGATAAAGCTAAATTGATACCAGATTTAATAATTTATAATTAAAATAATGTTAGCGCTGCTTTCTACCCATTATTAAGAAAATACTATCAATTTGGCCATCAAAACTTGTTTAGAGAACTAAGCGTGTAGACTGAGTAATCTATTCTGTTGGGTTTTTCATTGTTGGATTCTTGTGAAGCAAGATTATCATACTTAGTAATCTTTTATTTATTTTATTTTATTTCAATCGTGGTTACATACATCTGTACAATTCTGGTAAATTTCGTTGTCTAAGAATCTTCCCGTAATGAATTTAAACTTCTGTGCTGCAATTCATTTTCTAAATTTCACTGTTCATTTTGTAGTTTTGCTATCAAATCCACGGGTAACGATCCCGAAGGGATTGCTGCTTCCACCTCTTCTAACGAGTGACTAAGATAATGTTCATCCTCCTCCTCATCATCGTCTCCAACATCATCGTTGTCACTTTGGTCCCTTTGATCTTTATTGCAAAGACCTTCGCTGGACAACACAACTGCTGGATAAGAGTGCTCCGTTGCCTGCGATAGGCCTTCAAAGTCCTCTACCTTCTTCAGAAGTGCATCCGGACCAAGATTGATCTCTTCTAGCAATAAGGCCTTGCTTGTCTCAATTGCTCGTCTCCACAGGGATGTCATTTTAGGACTTGCATTTACGATTTTGGCGTCTGACTTGTCGCAATCGGCATTGCTCCCTCCTGATATAAAAGGTAATAATGGTAGTGATGAAACAAGTATTGCAGAATCAAATCTTGAACACATTAGCGTTAGCCATCAACTTAAAGTAGCATCAATAAGTGGTTTACAGATAGATGAAATTCAGAAAAACAAGCAAAATTGATGAATGAATGGGAAATATCGTCAGCTCTAAAATTTGAAAAGTACAGGTTGCATTGTTAAGATATGCTCACAACCTGAATGGATAGCCACTCCCAGTAGTTACGCTTAAAATTATATACTACAGGACACATTCAGTATGGATATTAACACACCATGTTAAGATTTACTTCGTTATATTTTCCAGCAGACACTTTTATGCACTGAGAAATGTTTCAGTTAGTATAAAAGAAAAAGTTTAGCCAGAGAAAAAGCAATTAACGGAATCTGCTCAAAGGAAAAACAGTATTTTGGTGACATTTTCTTTAATTTTCTTTTGAAGTAAAAGAAGGTGGGCCCACTTACCTGGGATGATATTTGTCAAATGCCAGGGCACCAGATCAGATTATCCATAATGAAACTTATTACAGGCCCTAGAAACACTAAAAAGTGTTGGCAACCTATGTGTCATCTTTTAATCAACCAAGCCATTTTTTAACCTGAACAAGCCTAGTAGCAATGTAAATAAAGGATTTCATAGTGGAACTTGGTGCAAGAAGCTCGCGTGAATCAAGATGGCATTGTCTAAAATCTAGAGTACCATAATTAATTTAACATAATACAGCTCACTGTCAGTCCTGGGACCACTAAAGTATTCATAAATCTGCAATTTTTAAGAGTCAATGCTTCATTTCATCTTTTAACCTACTAACTACCAGGATTATCTTCATTTGTATTGATTCCAGTCAACAAACTGCATCACATGCAGCATATTGATTAAAGGGGTTATGGCAAAATGACGCAACTATGGCCTTTTCAGAAGCTGACTTTCATATGCTATCTAAGTTCAGCTAACAAATACTGATAGCTAGAAGAAGGATGAGACAAACGATAAAATGTGAAGCAATTGCCATATGTTTAATCTCTCGCTCCATTCTATTTGGCTCTCCACCGCCTGCATACCTGGACCCTTGAAACCATTTCCAACATCAGCAAGACTTGAAGTTGGAGCTTCTGGATACATAGATTTCCAATCTTTTCCCCTCCACATCAATATCTGTTCATTGTCAAAAGACAAAAGCACACAAGGAACCAGTTCCTGGGGGCAGAAAAAGAGATAGAAGCAAACAAAATAAAAATATTACGAACAGAGAAAGTATAATGGAAAGTACTAACCATACATTGTTGCCTACAAAGAAACTAAATGGAGTACTTTACCCAGCATATGTTTAGACAACTGTCTTAACTGTAAAATGTATAATTGTGGAATCACAAGTCCTCTAGCAAATTTTGCTATTTTGTTTAAGGCCACACAAGGGCTCCTAATGTGCAGTGCCATGATTTCTGAGGTGTTTTTAGATACAAAGGGATACAACAAAGTTCAGTAGTCTTGATATAAACATGAAAAGCTTGATTTTTCAATTAATCGGCTTAAACCATGATATGAGGTTTTATTCTTAATTTCAAGTTGGCTGGGTTCCACAAAGCATCACAGTGCTTCATCTCTTTGTATGTCATTCATTTGATAAATTTCAGCAGTTTTTCCAGGTTTTAGACAATCATTACAATTCAAATAACAGGTCTAAACTTGAGCTGAAATTATGATCAGAGCAAATGGATACAACATAAGCAAACCTTCAGCTTAGCCCCTATTTTTTTGTAGTCACTTGCATGCAATCCCTTGCAGTCAATCTTAACTAGTGGGCTTCCTTCAAAAGCATACTTCACATCTCTCACTAGGGTGGTGTATACTCCATTTTTTGCTGCAACACAAAACCGGGCCAAATAAATATCAATTAACTGCAACAATGAACTAGTTTTGACAAACATGAGTATATATTAGCACAATAAGCACTTATTAGAAAGACACCTTCTAGCATAAGCACGCATGGAGAAGGCATGCAATGCAATAAAATTCATTAATATTAACAGATGGAATAGATGAGGGACAAATGAAGTATATGCCTTCCAGCATAAGCATGCTGGAGTTCAAATAGGAAACAAGCTATAATTGTAGGGCACATCATTACCCAAAGACAACATGAAGTGGTATACATCTGTTGTTTGATCATTCCATAGAGCAGAAATAACCAAATACATACTGTGTGAACAACCAAATAACCAACTTCTAATAATTTTATCACTAATCACCATCAACTCATGTTTGTATGCAAAAGAATTAAGCATCAATCTATCTGGCAGACATGTAACATCATACACCATGGGGATACACATCTATGCAGTTGCTGGACATTCCATATTTGAGAACTCAAAGTACAATGAAGAACAGGATGATCAAGAAAAGGCATTGCTAAAGCAGAAAATGATCTCTTAACAAGTAGATGAACAACAAATTTTTTTTTTTTTTTTTTTTTTTGGGCGGGGATTGCATACCTAATTTACAAATAGGTAAAAGTGATTCCCCTTTCTCCCGTAGCTCATCTGCTTCAGCCTTTGTCAAGCCTTCTGGAGCTTCTTGGATGAGCTTTGGGTAAACTGGTGTGGCAGGTTTCCAGAGCATCACTGGGTACTGTGGACGAGTGCGATGATCATAGTTTCTACCTCGGAAAAGATAAACTACACCACCAACTCGATGAATAATCTTTCCACCAGTCTTTTCCTAATATTTATGAATAAAAATCAATCTGAAGCCTGGATTGAGCTCCACCGACAAACATGCAGTTCTAGCTTAAAGAAGAATTCAAAGGGAGAAAAAATCTGTGCAACAAATTTATATTATTGACAATAGACATACCAGTAGAAGCAAATAAAACCTATCTAAGGAGGCATAAGCTTCTTGCAGATACCATCCAAAAGAAGGTTGGAGACATTTATCATGGATAAAACTTTTGTTCCATACTTGCAAATTTGAGCCCTATTCAGTAGTGGAAAACTTTTTTTCACAAGTTCAAGAACAAGATTTCTAGAATAAAATCATCATGATTGAACAATTACTGATCTACTCAGGGTTGTTTTAAACAAAAACAAACACATAAACTCTAGATCTCCTTATTTAGAACAGGTTGCACTCTTTCAAGGAAACAGAATTTAATAATACAAGCTAATATTCTGGTAACATAATTTATGCGGCAAATAGCTTGAAGCACTAGTCAATTGAGATGCAAATGGCCATTAAACATGGAATTAACAACTCAGTCTGACAGTAATTGCAGTTTCCATTTCAAAGTTGCAGTTACTACTGGAGCCTAGAGGGACCAGGGGTCTCACCATTTCAACGATTTTATCAATTTCTTCATCTCAACGGAGCTGACCATCCATTTCTTTTACAATATCACATTAAACTTATACATTAAATTCAAATCAAGACCTGGACCATGTGTAAAAATAGAAAACGGTCGGATGTTATCCTTTTCGAACTTATAAATCCTGCTACAGAAGAGTCATTATTTATTCAAAGCTTCCAGTTCTGAATCTTCTTATAATTCATCTTAGCGAGTTAACAGAAAAATATACTACAAACAACAGTCATAGAACAAGGACTAGAACATATTCACTACCAATGAAATGCAAAATACTTAATGATTTAAAGGCGAACCTCAAGGCAACGGCAAACATTATCCATATCGACGGTGGGAACACCCAGACACCGAACTTTACAAACTGGCTGTCGCTTCCAATGCGTATGAATCAACTCCAACATATTGTGCGTCAAACCATCCCTGCCTACACAACCCAATCAAGAACAATTTCACATAATTCCTCAAAAAAGAAAGAAAGAAAACAACTTGCGAAATCAAAGATTGTAGTCACTGAAAACCCACCAAGGTTGACCTGTCGATTGTTCGAAACAGTAGGCTTCAGAAGCTCCCGAATCTCCGCTCTCGTCAGCGGCTTTCCTAGCACCTCCTTCCTCGGCTTCAATTCGCCCCTGAAGTTCCCAAGCTGGTAGGGCTTCGGCATTTCCAGAACCTTCGCCCCGTTCATGCCCTGAGGGGCGACTCAAAAAGTGGAATGTTCTTTTTCTTCTTCGAGGTCTTCAGTGGCGCCTTCCCCGTCCATGGCCGGGGCATAGTAGGCGGCGCGAATGGTAAGAAAGCTGGCTCGCGAATCGCTAGGGGCTTGGCCTTGGGGGTCTCGGAGTAGCTGAACTGGAACTCGAAGGGCGCGCCGGGGAGGAGATAGGACACACCGGATTCACCTACGACGACGGAGCGGTCGCCATCCGATGTGATGACTCCGTCCTTGACCCGCCAGTAGTACTTGGAACGGTTGTGGAAGGTCTTTAAAGCGGGGTTAGCTTGGGGTTTTGGCGGTTGTGGAGAGTGTTTTCGGCATTTGAGAGGTGGTGGGTATTTAGGTATTGGAATGGGGGGTTGAGGAGGAGGGTTTGAGGAGGGGTTAGGGTCGTTCGGAGGGAGAGAGGAGAAGAGGTTGAGACCTGGTAGAGTGGCTACAATCGCCATTGAATTTGAACCACCTCTACTATCTATACACTGTTGTATGAGATATGAAATGTATTCTTTGATGCAGAAAGGCCTGGAGGAAATTGGGAAACTTTCTGGTTTTCAGTTGCAGAAGGAAGAAGAGAATGAGGAGGACGATGATGCTTCCCGACAGTCCTCCTCCAGACAGATTTTTGTCCCAGGGCACCGTGAACCGGATAAATTCTCGGGAACCGGTGGTTGGCGCGGAAGCTGGCACGGAACGACGTCGCAATTTGGATATGCTTGTACAGTAAAGGGAATATTAAGTATTTTTTTGCAATTTACAAATATTTTTACCATAATTTTCAGTTTTTTTAAACGTGGGGTCAATTTCACAGTGACGTCGTAATTTGGACATGCTTGCGTGGTAAAGTAAGACAAGTAAAAGTTAAAATTAAATCGATTACAAATCAAATTAAATAAAAATGAATCAATTTAATTTGATTATAAGATTTTATCAATCAATTTATTTGGTTCAATTTTGATTTTATTTCAAAATAAAACAGAATTGAACTGAATTGATTCTATTTATTAATATATATATTATATAAAAAGAAAAGATCAATTGATATCATGTATAAGTATAAAATACTTACACTACATTTTACATCGTTGATTTGGTCAAAATCAACGGTGTAAATTAATTATAATTATTTTTTACTAACTTTTAGCAATTAATTTACATTTAAATCAGCTGTAATTAATTTATGCCGTTGATTTTAACCAAATTAACGGTGTAAGATGTAATGTAAGTCTTTACACTTATACTTGGTATTAATTAATCCCTTCTCTCGTATAAAAATTATATATATATTTTATATTTATTTATTTATATTGTATTTATTATATATTTTTATATATATTATATTATATATTTATATTTATATTAAATTTTTTTACAAATTAAAAAAAAATTGAAAAACCAAACATGTTAACCGACCCAAACCAACTTTGGTTTGGTTTGATTTAGTTTGGTTTTTTGAAAAAGAAACCAATCATGTCTAATAAAAAACAAAATCAACATATTCGGTTCAGTTTGATTTAGATCCAAAACCGACCCGAGCTAAACTCGTGAACACCCTGACTAAAGGCATGTTTTTCGTTTCTTAGAACATATATTTGAATTATTAAAACAATTAATTCATAAATTTTCGTATGTTACTTTTTCTTTAAAAAATAATTTTTACCCAATAATAAATTTAATCCTAACTCATCCTATTGGTTTTAAGTTTAAAAAACAAAAAATGCAAATAAATACCCAAAAAACAAAGAAAAGGAAGCCAAAGGACCCTAATTGAAAATCACTAAAATCTTTTAAGAAGTAAGTTAAGCGTTTAATTTTATATTTTATTTAATAAAAACAGAAAAATATATAAAATAGACGGCTTAGATAGTATCGGATTGGCTTATTTATTAACTCAAACCATCTACCAAGAATTTAAGTATTTTGTGAAGAAGTAATAAATAAATATATTGCATTTAAATGTAAAATAAATAAAAATAAGTCAACTTTTTATACTTTTTATCTTACTTATATTATTTAAAATAGTTTATTTTAATTTAAATATTTGTTATTAGTTTTTCATAATAAATAATCTACTTAAATTATTTTTATTATTAAATAAGCACTAAATATCATCCCATAGTAGATTTTATGAAAAACAAATTTGAAAAAATGGGATAGTGCATTTATATAAAATAGGTATAGGAAAATGAAAAAAAAAAATTTATTTAAAAGTATATATGAAAAAATTTTATTCATATATTATTATTTAAATTTTAAATAAAAATATCTAATATATTTTTAAAATTTTATAAACATAATTTTTCTATATTTATTATATATATTTAAAAATATTATGCACAAAAAATTTGTATAAACCTCACCCTTGCGACTCGAGACTTGCCTTGAACTTTTGAAAGGCTGCTTTTTGAGGATTTATTGGATAATGATGATGCACTAACTGCGATAGTGCATCCAATAGTCTTGGGATACATATAATTATACATAGATTTTATATAAAATTTATGCATTTAAGAGTTGTTAGATGTGTTGTTTTAATGAATGCACATTCAGCATCAAATGAACCTTTTTAAAGCGAGCATAAGTAAGATTGCTCTGAGAGGTTAATCAATGTGACCCTCGTTAGTTTACGATAGAAAAAATTTAGATTGAGTTTTTTTTGAAATAAAAAAAATGTAAAATTTTTTATAAAAATTACTAATTTAAATTTAATTTGTATAATATAATTATAATTAAAAAATATATTTTATGTATAATTAAATTATATAAGTTACTCTGTCAAACTCATTAATAAAGTCAAATTTATTTAATTAAAAAATTAATTGTAAACTTTAATTTACTTTAATTAAATAAATGAGTCAAATCAAATTAGGTTATAATAAATTAAGTAAGAGGCTGCTCACTGATAGTTTGATTTATTTTCAATTCTAATCCTAATATTTTGTGTTATTAGACTGATTTAAATAATTTTAATAAGTAAAACTAGATAAATTTTAATTTAAATCCTCTTATAATCCTACGTTAACCCTCCTTAATTTTCAACCAATGATGAACAATCAACAGTTGAAGTTTGTGCGCCAACATCAATCACCATAGACTTGCATTCCACGATTTGCACGGCCCTAAAGCCCTAGCCCAAACACTCTTCCCTATATAAACACCCTCGTTCGCTCGGGCGTTTTCTCGCCTCTCGTTCTCTCACCCGAAACCCTAGATTTGCAATCTTAGCAACGATGCAGATCTTTGTGAAGACCCTGACGGGGAAGACGATAACCCTAGAGGTTGAGTCCTCGGACACCATCGACAATGTCAAGGCCAAGATCCAGGACAAGGAGGGTATCCCACCGGACCAGCAGCGCCTCATCTTCGCTGGAAAGCAGCTCGAGGACGGCAGAACCCTTGCCGACTACAACATCCAGAAGGAGTCGACACTCCACCTTGTCCTCCGCCTGCGTGGTGGAGCCAAGAAGAGGAAGAAGAAGACCTACACGAAGCCGAAGAAGATCAAGCACAAGAAGAAGAAGGTCAAGCTCCCCGTGCTCCAGTTCTACAAAATCGATGACTCCGGCAAGGTCCAGAGGCTGAGGAAAGAGTGCCCTAATGCTGAGTGTGGTGCAGGGACGTTCATGGCGAATCATTTTGACAGGCACTATTGTGGCAAGTGTGGGCTGACCTATGTTTACCAGAAAGCTGGGGGTGATTAGTTGTTAGTTAATCTCTCTTGATTAATCGTTTTAGCCATGCTTATCTTTACGTTCGTTGAAGAGGTTTTATATTTTTCTTTAATTCTGGATTTTACAGCTTCATTTCAACTGTTTTGGTTGCTAAAGATGTGATGTATTTTACTTAAATGAATCCAATTTTGGATGCACATGATTATACATAGGGTTGTATTAGTATTGGTCTTCATATCTTGTTGGTTTCTGACAAATGTTGTAGTGCAATTCTGATGGACCTGCATAATGCTGTGGTAACTATATTTTATATGTGCGATCATAAGGTTCTTCGGGCAATTGGGTTAAGTTTCATTGATATTGGGTTTACTGTAGTTCGTATTGAAATCTTGTTGGGAGATAATGGTTTTCCCAATTCAAGGAATTGGGCATTTATTTGTTGGTTATGGTATAATTGGAGTTGGAACTGATTTGCATTGTTGGCAAGCAAATTGGTGAAGAGATGACTCAAGGTAGCTTTTTGAGGAGGGGTTCTGAATTGCAGCTATCCGTGGTCTGGAGATTGCGTCTGGGGTGCCCCAGCGTTGTTCTGTTATTGAAGTTAAGATTTGTGGGCTTGCGTGGTTCCTCTGATGAGGTAGCAAAATACTTGTGCACGTTGTGGATCAGCTTGTCATTTCCCTTCGATGTTTGGCCATATAGAGAAGATTTTGTTTTCCCATATTAATTTGTTTTCCATTATGAGTTTAGGTTCATTTGAAACTTTTTTTACCAAGTATTTTGCTATTTCCATGTCATAGCGGTGTTCTCCATTTAAATGATGCTCTCATGTAGTGATATTTTGAGAGGATGGATCTTTACTCAGAATAGCCTAGGCTGTAAAGCAGCTGAGACTTGGTAAAGCATGTCGCTGCTTGTAATAAAAAGTGTTTCCCAGCGAAATGAATTCTTCTTGAACCACCGATCCGATTCTTGAACTAGAATCCCAATGTAGGCTGAAGAAAATAGTGATATGGGCATTAATAAATTAGACTTTAATTATTTGTTTAGTTTATTTTGAAGTTGGACTCTGTACATGCCCTAATTTGGATAATTTTCAATCCTAGTTTGAATTTGTAGCTGAAATTTAAATGTTTGACATTGGATGCGATGGTTATTGGAGTCGTTTCAGGCCTTCGAGGATAATAAGCATAGTGCAGAACTTGTTTTGCTGGTGATGCCTTTTTTCTTTTCTTTTTTTTTTTTGAAAATTATAACCATGGTTTTGGTTGAATGCCTTAAATGCTCCACTAGTTACAATTCCAGGGGTTACACCTGAGCCATTAGTCATTACACATTGTTCTTCAAAAATTTCTTCCCATTTGGGACTCACAGGTAGTCAGGGAACTTCTCACGAACTGGTTTAAATTGATTTTTTTTAATTTAATTTGAAAAAAGGGAAAAGTAGCTGGGGAGTTCATGTGCTTGTTTAACTATAAATTTCTTACAATCATTACAATTCAAATAACAACTTAGCTGAAATTATGATCAGACCAAAGGGATTCAACATAACTAGTGGATTAGCCCCTATCCTTTTGTAGTCACTTGCGTGCAATTCTGGCAGTCAATCCTAACTAGTGGACTTCCTTCAGAAGCATACTTCACATCTCTTATTACGGTGGTGTATACTCTTCATTTTTTGGCTGCAACAAAAAGCCGGGCCAGATAAATATCAATTAACTACAACAATGAACTAGTTTTGACAAACGTGAGTATATATTAGCACAATAAGCACTTATTAGAAAGATACCTTCTAGTATAAGCATGCATGGAGAAGTCATGCAATGCAATAAAATTCATTAATATTAACAGATGGAATAGATGAGGGACAAATGAAGTATATGCCTTCCAGCATAAGCATGGTGGAGTTCTAATAGGAAACAAGCTATAATTGTAGGGCAAATAATTACTCAAAGACAACATGAAGTAGTATACATTTGTTGATTGATCATTCCACAAGCAGAAATAACCAAGTGCACTCTGTGTGAACAATCAAATAACCAACTTCTAATTATTTTATCACCAATCACCATCAACTCATCTTTATGTGCATAAGAATTAAGCATCAATCAATCTGGCAGACATTTCACATCATACACCATGCGGATTTACGTCTAACCAGTTACTGGAGGTTCCATATTTCAGAACTCAAAGTACTATGAAGAACAGAATGACCGAGAAAAGGCTTTGCTAAAGCAGAAAACAACCTCTTAACAAGTAGGTGAACAACAAAAATTGGGATTGGGGACCCCGGGGGGGGGGGGGGGGGTGTGAGGGTGTGTTTGTTATTGCATACCTAATTTACAAATAGGTAAAGGTGACTCCCCCTTTCTCGTAGCTCATCTGCTTCAGCCTTTATCAAGCCTTCTGGAGCTTCTTGGATGAGCTTTGAATAAACTGGTGTGTCAGGTTTCCAGAGCATCAGAGGGTATTGTGGACAATAGACATACCACTAGAAGCAAATAAAACCTATCCAAGGAGAAGGCATAAGCTTCTCGCAGATACCGTCCAAAAGAAGGTTTCAGACATATACTGTGGACAAAAACTTTTGTTTCATGCTTGAAAATTTAAGCCCTATCTAGTAGTGGAAAACTTTTTCTCACAAGTTCAAGAACAAGATTTCTAGAATAAAATGATCGTGATTGAATAATTACTGATCCACTAAGGGTTGTTTTAAACAAAAACAAACACAAATTCTAGATCTCCTTATTTAGAGCAGGTTGCACTCTTTCAAGGAAACAAAATTTAATAGTACAAGCTAATATTCTGGCAACATAGTTTATGTGGCAATAGCTCAAAGCACTGGTCAATTGAGATGCAAATGGTCATGAAACATGCAATAAACAACTTAGTCTGACACACAGTTGTTAATAGCGCGCTATAGCGCTCGCTATGACGACATAGCGAGTGCTATAGCATGCTACGCTACAAGAAAGGCATAGCGTAGCAACATCCGATTAGCGAGGTGTAGCGCGCGCTACATGCGCTATTCTCTCTCTGGACTATGGTGCGCTACATGCGCCACAACGTGAAGGGAGATTTTAGGCCCAAAAAAATCCCTACATCCTTGTATCAGACTCGAGTCCAGCCATAGCCTGTTGATCAAGCCCTCTCTTCTTCTCTATTCACCCTCGCAATCAAGCCCTAGAAGCTGTGTCGAGCCCTTGTCAATCATCAAACCACCTTATTAAGCCTCGTGTTGAGCTCTCCCCTCTCTGGTGAGCCTCGCGATTAAGCTCTTCCTTAGCTATCGAGCCCTCATCGAGCATCGAACCACCTTGTTGAGGCTCGTGTTGAGCTCTCCCCTCTCAGGCGAGCCTCACGATTGAGCTCTTCCCTAGCTGTGTCGAGCCCTCGTTGAGCATCGAACCACCTTGTTGAGCCTCGTGTTGAGCTCTCCCCTCTCTGGCGAGCCTTGCAATTGAGCTCTTCCCTAGCTGTGTCGAGCCCTCGTTGAGTATCGAACCACCTTGTTAAGCCTCGTGTTGGGCTCTCCCCTCTTTGGCGAGCCTCGTGATTGAGCTTTTCCTAGCTGTCGAGCCTTACAAGGCCCCTTCGAGCCCTAGATCGAGACTGTTTGGCACAAGCTCTATGTGAGAGCTCCATAGCTCTCATCTCCTTTGCTATGTCACGAGCCCCACAAAGCAAGCCTAAGTGTTTTATTTTTTTTATATTTTTTTATTTTTGGACTTACAAGTGTCCCACTTCATTTAACTCACTTCAGTTTTTATTTGGTAATCAGAATCTTCTCTGTTTTTTAGTATCGAATGACAATCTAAAATGCACATTAGTAAGAGTAGGAGTGATCAAACTTGAAATTATTGTAAGAAAGTTGATCCAAACAGACAAACAAAGTTATATGTAATTGTAAACTATGTTTTGATGTACTATTTTATGTTTTAAATTATGTCTAATGTGTCAATTCATGTTTGATATATTGAGATGATTGTTGGAAGATTTGTATTTTGAGTACTTGTTAAGCTTTAATATTTATTGAGGTTATTTTTCTTATATATTGTTGATATATATTGTTATTATATAATATGCGCTATTTTACCAAATAGCTATGCGCTACGCTATTCGCAATGCGTTATGTCGCTATGGATCGTTTGCACTACGATGCACTATGCGCTATAAATAACTTTGGTCTAACAGTAACCGCAGTTTCCATTTCAAAGGTGCAGTTACTACTCTGGAGCCTCTAATCAGGGGTCTCACCATTTCAACAATTTTGTCAATCTCTTCATCTCAATGGATCTGACCATCCCTTTTTTTTTTTTTTACAATATCACATTAAACTTATAAATTAAATCCAAATCAAGATCTGGACGATGAGTGAAACTAGAAAACAGTCAGATATTATACTTTTCAAACTTCCCGTCTTACTAAAGAAGATTCATTATCCATTCAAAGCTTCCAGTTCTGAATCTTCTCATAGTTCAGCTTAGTGAGTCAACAGATAAATATACTACAAGTAACAGCTATAGAACAAGGACTGGAACATATTCACTACCAACGAAATGTAACATAACGATTTAAAGGCGAACCTAAGGCAACGACAAACATTATCCATATCGACGGTCGGAAAACCCAGACACCGAACTTTACAGACTGGCTCTCTCTCTCAGATTTTTGGCTCACTGGGCTCTTTCTTCCTCACTCACTAGGCTACTCGACTCACTTCACTCAACCCTTGCTCACTCACTAGTCTACTCGACTCATTTCACTCAACCCTGCTGCTTGCCTGGATACCATGAAGCTGAAGCATCCCTGTATTTATAAAAAGACTGATACCATGAAGTTGAAGCATCCTTATATTTATAGAAAAACGCATCCCTACATTTATAGAAAAGCTGGTTGGTCATTAGTCAAGCTTGAGACACCGGGGACCCGCCACCCGCCAAGCCACCCTATTTCTGGCCAAGCTACCCTTGAGCCGTCCTGGTGGGGTGGTAATTCATTGCCTCCTCCCTTTGAGCCGCCCTGCCACCTCTCAATTGAGGAGACACTCAACATGAATCAACTCCAACATATAGTGCGTTAAACCATCCCTGCCTACACAACCCAATCAATAACTAATTCACAAAATTCCTCCCAAAAAAAAAAAAAAAAACTTGCGAAATCAAAGATTCTAGTCACGAACCCAGATTGACCTGTCGATTGTTCGAAACAGCAGGCTTCAGAAGCTCGCGAATCTTCGGTCTCGTCAGCGGCTTTCCTAGCACCTCTCTCCTCGGCTTCAATTCGCCCCTGAAGTTCCCAAGCTGGCAGCGCTCCGGCATTTCCTGAACCTTCGCCCCGTTCTTGCCCTGATGGGGCGACTCAAAAAGTGGAATGTCCTTCTTCTTCTTTGAGGTCTTCAGTGGCACCTTCCCCGTCCATGGCTGGGCATAGTAGGCAGCGTGAACGATAAGAACGCTGGCTCGCGAATCGCGAGGGGCTTGGCCCTGGGGGTCTCGGAGAAGCTGAACTGGAACTCGAAGGAGGCGCTGGGGAGGAGATAGGACACACCGGATTCACTTACGACGATGGAGCGATCGTGGTCCGATGTGATGACTCCGTCCTTGACCCGCCGTTAGTATCTGGAACGGTTGTGGAAAATCCTGAAAGCGGGTTTAGCTTGGGGTTTAGGCGGTTGTGGAGAGTGTTTTCGGGGTTTGAGAGGTGGTGGGTATTCAGGTATTGGAATGGTGGGTTGAGGAGGAGGGGTTTGAGGTGGGGTTAAGGTCGTTCGGAGGGAGAGAGGAGAAGACTTTGAGACCTGGCAGAGTGGCTACAATTGCCATTAAGTTTGAACCACCTCTGTTATCTATATACTGGCTTGTAAGATATGGAATGTATTCTTTGGTGGAGAAGAAGGCCAGAAGGAAATTGGGAAACTTTCGGGTTTTCAGTTGCAGAAGGAAGAAGAGAATGAGGAAGACGATGATGCCTCTCGACAGTCCTCTAGACAGATCTTTGTCCGAGGAGACTCTGAACCGCAAAAATTCTCGCGAGCCGGTGGTTGGCGAACAAGCGGTAGAACGACTTCGTAATTTGGATATGTTTGTACGGTAAAGTAAATATTAACTATTTTTCTGCAATTTACAAATATTTTTACCATAATTTTCAGTTTTTTTTTTTCAAAGTGGGGTCAATTTCAAAGGAAAGAGAGGCTCTCTCAGCTAAGAGGGACATCCCAATTTTTTTGGACGAGTCCGTGTGATAGACTCGGGTTAGCCACTAATGTGTAAACCATTATTAATTTTCTAATCACATGTTTAACCATCATTGACCAATTACGTTGAATGGTAGACTTAATCTTAGCCAGGAGCAGAATTCACGTAAGGGCATTAGCCCTTCTCCATCACAAAAGGTCAACAAAGATTTTAAAATCTATCTTACGAATGACCTTATTAAAACCCAACTTTCATACATTTTCAAGCCCTCCCAAACTCTTCAAGTTTCAACATTTAATACATTTGTTACTTCAATATTTTTGAAAAGTCCCTTAATTCAACCTTTATTGTGATATCTTAAAAGACCTATCTTCAAATTTCAAATTATTTAATTTAAATATATTATTTGTATTTAATTTTATCCTTCCCCTAATTAGAAGTGACAAGATAGCTCGAATCATGTCCAAAAGAGTTGGATATGTCTTATTGCTAGACACATTATACACGTTGCTATCAACCACCACTTGATAACTTTAATGAAATTTATAACTCAATAAAATTCTCTTCAAAAATTTGCTTACTCTCCATCCCCGAATGCACCAAGAAGCAATCGCCTAAGATTCTGGCCAATCATGACTCAAACCCAAACCAAGATATGACATCAGATTGGCAATGCATCAATTTTTGTCCTCCAGCACAAAGTAGTTAACCCAGAAGGATGGATGCACTAATCTAACCCAAACTTCAGTCACTAGTAGACAATCTGTTAAAGCATGAAAGATCGACTTAGTAAGGGCACCACAGTACTGACATCTTAGATAGCATTTGCTCTATTTAAATTTTTTTTAATTAGTAAGCAACTTTCCATGCGTGGTCAACCAAACAAACACTCTTACCCTTCTTGACACCTTGAACTTCCATATTCTACTTCACCTTTGTTGATTTGCCCCTCTAGAACGCTTTTGCAGTAAAGTGAGAGAAGTAAAAGCATGCTTTATATATTTTCAACATATATATTTAAATTATTAAAATAATTAATTCATAAATTTTCGTATATTAATTTTTCCTTAAAAATTTTTACCCAATAATAAACTTAATCCTAACTCATTTTATTGGTTTTAAAGTTTAAAAAACACAAAAATGCAAGTATATACGCAAAAAACAAAGAAAAGGAAGCCAAGGTACCCCTACTTGAGAATCACTAAAATATTTTAAAGAGTAAGTTAGGCATTTAATTTTAAATTTTGTTTAAGAAAAACTGAAAAATGTATGAAATAGACAGCTTAGATGGCATTTGATAGGCTTATTTATTACCGAAAATCATCTACCATGAATTTAAGTATTTTGTGAAAAAAGTAATAAATAAATATATATTGCATTGAAATAAAAAGTGAGTTATATTTGTATCCTTTTTATCTTACTTATAATTTATTTTAATTTAAATATTTATTATTAGTTTTTCATAATAAATAATCTACTTAAATTATCTTTATTATCAAATAAGTACTAAATATTGTCCCATAATAGATTTTAGGAAAAACGAATTTGAAAAAAATGGGATACTGCATTTATATAAAATAGGTATAGGAAAATGGAAGAAATAATTTATTAAAAAATATATATGAAGATACTTTCATTCATATATTATTATTTAATTTTTTTAAATAAAATATGTAATTTATCTTAAAAAATTTATAAACATAACTTTTCCATATTATATATATATACACACACACACGCACACAAAAGATTTGTATAAACCCCACCCTTCCGCCCTTGCCGCTCGAGACTAGCCACAAACTTTTTGAAGGCTGCTTTTTTGGCGAGCTTAGCCAGGTCCACCCTAAGCGGTTAATTTTTAGAGGTGGGAATAATCTGGATTTGAGTTTTTTTAAAATTTAAAAAGGTTAAATTTATTATAAAAGTTATTAATTTGAGTTTAATTTATATAATGTAATTATATTAAAAAATATATTTTATACATAATTAAATTATTTAAGTTAAATTGTCAAATCTGTGAATAAAGTTAAATTATTTAATTAAAAAAATTAATTTCCTGATTTGAATCTAGTTTAATTAGATAAATAAACTAAATTAAATCAAGTTAAAATAAGTCAAACACACCACTCACCAGTAGTTTAACTTATTTCTAATCTTAACCCCAATAACTTAAATTATTACACTGATTTAAATAATTTCATTAGTAAAATTATCTTGTAATACCACCCTAATCCTCCTTAATTTTCCACCAATGATGAGCAATCAACGGTTATAGTTTGTGCGCCAGCATCAATCACCATAGACTTGCACTCCACGATTTGCACGGTCCTAAAGCCCTAGCCCAAACACTCCTCCGTATATTATCACCCTCGTTCAGTCGGGAGTTTTCTCGCGCCTCATTCTCGCACCAGAAACCCTAGATCTGCAATTTCCGCAACGATGCAGATCTTCGTGAAAACCCTAACGGGGAAGACAATAACCCTAGAGGTTGAGTCTTCGGATACCATCGATAATGTCAAGGCTAAGATCCAGGACAAGGAGGGCATCCCACCGGACCAGCAGCGCCTCATCTTCGCTGGAAAGCAGCTTGAGGACGGCAGAACCCTTGCCGACTACAACATTCAGAAGGAGTCGACTCTGCACCTTGTCCTCCGCCTGCGTGGTGGAGCCAAGAAGAGGAAGAAGAAGACCTACACCAAACCGAAGAAGATCAAGCACAAGAAGAAGAAGGTCAAGCTCCCCGTGCTCCAGTTCTACAAAATCGATGACTCCGGCAAGGTCCAGAGGCTGAGGAAGGAGTGCCCTAATGCTGAGTGTGGTGCAGGGACGTTCATGGCGAATCATTTTGACAGGCACTATTGTGGCAAGTGTGGGCTGACCTATGTTTATCAGAAAGCTGGGGGTGATTAGTTGTTAAGTAATCTCTCCTGGATAATCGTTTTAGCCATGCTTATGTTTAGGTTCGTTTTAGAGGTTTTATATTTGTCTTTAATTCTGGATTTTACAGCTTAATTTTAACTGGTATGGTTGCTAAAGACGGGATGAATTTTGCTTAAATGAATCCAATTTTGGATGCACATGGTTAAACATAGGGTTCTATTACTATTGGCCTTCATATCTTATTGGTTTCTGACAAATGTTGCAGTGCAATTCTGATGGACCTGCATGAGATACATGATTTTCCTCTTCAGAGGAGCTATTGGCTGTGGTAATTATATTTCATATGTGCAACCATAAGTTTCTCCGGGAATTGGGTTGAGCTTCATTGATGTTGGGTTGAATGTACTTTTTGTTTGAAATCTTGTTGGGAGATAATGGTTTTCCTAATTCAAGGAATTGGGCAATTCTTTGTTGGTTATGGTATAATTGGAGTTGGAACTGATTTACATTGTTGGCAAGCAAAATGGCAAAGAGATAACTCAAGGTAGTTTTTTGAGGAGGGGTTCTGAATTGCAGCTATCCGTGGTCTGGAGATTGTGTCTGAGGTGCCCCTGCTTTGTTCTGTTATTGAAGTTAGATTTGTGGGCTTGCGTGGTTCCTCGGATGAGCTAGCAACATTTGTTCGCAGTTAATTTATGAAAGTAGAAATATTTGTGTCTTTCCTATTATCTTCAGCTACATTTTGGTGTGAGTTTGTGTACGTTGTGGATCAGCTTGTCATTTCCCTTTGATGTTTGGGCATACAGAGAAGATTTTGTTTTCCTATATTAAATTGTTTTCCATTATGAGTTTAGGTTCGTTTTGAAATTTCTTTACAAGTATTTTGTTATTTCCACGTCATAGTGGTGTTCTCCTTTTAAATGATGCCCTCTTATAGTGATGTTTCAGAGGATGGATCTTTACTCAGGGTAGCCTAGGCTGTAATGCAGCTGAGACTTGGTAAAGCGTGTCGTTGCTTGTAATAACCAGTTTTTCCCAGTGAAATGAATTCTTCTTGAACCACTGAACCAATTCCTGAACTAAAATACCAATGTAGGCTGAAGAAAATAGTGATCTGGGCATTAATAAATTAGACTTCAATTATATGTTTACATTATTTTGAAGTTGTACTCTGTACATGCCCTAATTTAGATAATTTTCAATCCTAATTTGAATTTTAAGCTGAAATATTTATGGGGTCATTCCAGGCCTTCGAGGATAATGAGCATGGTGCAGAACTTGTTTTGCTGTTGATGCTTTTATCTTTAAATTCTAATCATGGATTTGGTTGAATGTCGTAAATCCTCTACTAGTCACAATTCCAGGTGTTACACCTGAGCCAATTAGTCGTTACGCGTTGTTCTTCCAAAATTTCTTCCCATTTCTGACTTACAGGCAGTCGGGGAACTTCTCACAAACTGGTTTAAATTGATTTTTTTTTTTAAATTTAAATTGAACAAATGTAAAAAGTAGCTTGGAGTTCAGTTGCTTGTTTAGCTATAAATTTCTTACAACATCTACGTAACTCACAGGTGTGCCATAAAGCAATTTTTTTTCCACTGGGTGTATCTAATGATGGTTTGTTCATTTGAAAAACATGGAACTCACCTCTATGGGTTTTACTTTATGGCAGAAGCAAATTACGTTTAAAGTTTAGGGTTCGGGTTGGACTTATGTCCCTCCTCCTCTCCCTCTCTCTCTTCTCTCAACCTTAGGCTTGTAATGTACACCAAAAAAAAAAAAAAAAAGGAAACATGTTATGTACTTCAATTCATTTTTCCAGACGTACATATAATAGAACACTAAAATATGCATGAATTGTAACCTAGCACATTTATGTCCTTGATGTTCCTTGGCATCGATGGTTGTTATTCCTTCACCTCCACTTGTTCCTTCTTAGTGCCTTTCCAGCTGAATGTAACAATAATAAAAATGACATTCGAATTGGTGATTTCAGCACGGAAAGTGTATAAAGAGAATGCCAACCACCACGAATGAAAAGTTGAAGAGCTTACTTATGAAATAAGGCCTTTTAGAAAATCCGTGGAAGTACATTTGAAAGAAGTCTCTGTTCTCTTTTGTGAGCTCTCTCCACACTGCAACCCATCAACTGCTTTAGGTCGTCATACACAAATACTCATGAAATATATATTTGTGCATAAGTAGAGTGCAATAAGCTTTTATGCATGCATGTATCAAGTATGTGCATGAGAGAGAGAGAGAGAGAGACCTGTGAGTGTAACGAGGGGCCGGACACTGGCATGCTCTGCAAGTGCCTTTATGCATTGATCCCGGTCCATGTGAAGAAGGAGACACTTCTCTATCATATGCTGAACCTGAAATTTTCACACCAAATACCCACTAATTGAAGTGTTTCATGTGACAACATTTCCAAAAATACTGTTTGAACTTTGGACATATACATGCCTAGTCTTTAACGTTCAGAAATTCTGAAAAGACGAGATTATAATTTTAAAAGCTGTAGTATTATGGGTTGTTTGGATTTAACGAGAAGTAGAGAGAGAATTTTACCATGCGGATGTAGCTATGAGGGTGACAATGCAAACAGGGAATAGGACGCCGATGGATTTGATACATGATTTTTCCAAGGAAATGGACAAAACAGAGCAAGGGAAGGGACTGAAAGAAAGCAAGAAAGCAAACAAAAATAGGAAAGGGCACGAGAGAGGAGGGAGAAGAAGACATTTTGAGGAGTATAAACATAGCAAGCGAGAGGGTAGTAGTAGTAATTGTTATCCAAAGATATCTAGGTGGAGGGCCAAAAAAGCGATAGAAATCCAAACACCAGATTCACCTCATCTGCTGGGGGATAAGAGGGGCTTTAGGTTTCTGATGATGCCCTGCACTCGCACCACTTAGCAATCTGATGATCAGTGTATTTGGCCAGTCCTACAGCCACTTCATCATCATTAGATCAGGCCTGCATTGAAGACAGATCTGGGCCCTCCATACTTCTACTGCTATAAATCTGCACGGGCCCAATCTTAGCACGTTAGCAATGGACCGCTTATTCACCCGCTTGATTTTCACACTCCTTTCTACCACCATGAAGATTAGTCAAGAGAATTTACCAGAAATATTAGTGAGATAGATGCTTCAGATGCAATAGTCTAAGGAGTTTGTGAGGAATTGAAAATGATTTGGAATTTGAAACTCAGAAAGTCGAGTTGGAAATGGATTATAAACTTCTTGTAGACTTGATGACAGAAAAGCAGGCAAATAACTCTTATTAGGTTTTCTTTTCCACCAAAGACAAATTTCTTTTTGGTAGGAGTGGCCAGTGGAGATGAAATACATAGTGTGACAGAGTTAATGGTGGTTTAGAGTTAACGGTGGTATAGTGTACATTTGATGTTAGTTACTATTTTAGTAGGGTAGTACCCTAATAGTTCAGCCAATAAGTGATATGTGTGTAGATTTATAATTTTAATTTTTTTATTTTATATTTTATGTTTAATCAAATAAATTAAAAAGTTGTAGATATGATATGAAAAATTAAATTATTTTATATTTCATTTTTATAAATTTAAAAATAAAAAAAATAGAATAAATTTATTTTAAATATCTGCACATATGTCACTCATTGATTAAGCTGTTAGAATGCTACCCTAGTGAGACAGTACCTAACATCAAATGAACCGTGATATAGATAGTTTAACTAACCTAATCTTATCCCATAAATTAAGTATAAAGAATCTCTAATTAAATTAGATTGTTTTCTATCATGAAATTTTGAGAGTTTTTACTTCTTATAAGAGGTGTTCAACAAATTGAATCAAACCGTTTAAACTATATAAATTGAACTAAATTGTTAATTTTAGTTTGGTTTGGTTTGATATTGATATCTAGACAAACTGTATAGATCGAATCAAAACTTATAGTTTATATATATATATATAATTAAAAATACTATCTCTATATATATAGTATCTTTTTATTATTAACTGTATATTTTTTTGTTATATTTTATATTTATTTTATTCTAATAATTTATTATTTTCTTTTTTTAGAATGTGATTTCTATTAATATGAGTAAAATTCTGTAAAACGGTATAAATATATTTATTATACCATGTATAACTACCATAGTTAATTAATAAATAATGAATTTATTAAGTTAAATATGTTAGGAAAAAAAATAGATAATCAATTTTTAAGAAAATTCTGTCAAAATTTTTATAAAAATAGTAAATTTAATCTATTTTATTTTGTAAATTATAAATCGTAGTTTGAAACCAAACTAAACTGTAAACCATAGTTCGATTTAATTTATAAAAATTATAAATTGAAAAGTATGATTTAATTTAAATTTTAACGTCAAATTGAATCAAATCGAATCACAAACCCTCTACTTCCCATAATTTCATAACGTAAAATTTACTTTCTTTTGTGCACTTGTCAACCACAAATAAAAAAAAGGAAAAAAAAGTAGCATCAATTTTTGATGAAAATGATTTAATTTCTTTTTATTGTTAATTTTTTATTTTTTATTTTAATATGTTATATAGCATATGGTATAATTATTATACTAAATGCCAGAGGGGCCCTCGTGCTGCCATGTCCACCGCCAGTGGGTACTAGCGAGGCCAACTAATTTAAGAGATTGAGGAAAATGATTCTTTGCCTACAAACGACGATGTAGCACGTCTCTCATTAAATTGTTTTATGAAACGGTGTCGGTGTGGATTTGTCTAATGAAGGATTTGTCTCTTAATTCAAATATTTAATATACTATGAAGCTAAATAAATATTTCCTTACTTAAATTATATGCAATTCTTCAAAAAGTTACGTTATAATATTATTTTTCCGATTTTACCCCCACGCGCAAGCAATATTCACAGCTTTGTTATGTGCTTGGGATTTAGACTATAGATACACTATATATTTTGAGGATTGGATGGGATTTATAAGTATTATATTTTTTCCTTTCTGGAGAAATTATAAATATATTAAATAAAAAATTTAATTCTCCATTTCATTTTTGTCCTCTCAAAACTAAATAATAAGGGTATTTAATAAGAGCACTTTGGTTATCTCACCTAGAAAAATTTTTTCATTAATTTTTTGATTATTATAAAAAATAAAACAGCTTGTTATCATTTATATATTTAAAAACATACAACCCCTCTTTGTAAATTATATTACACTAGTGACATTATTACAATTTTTTATAAAAAATTCATATGATTTTAGAGTTTTACTTTTATTTTTCTCCTCTATTAACGAGGTTGCACAAGGTAGAGTTAATATTTTAAAATCCAAATTAAATCAGTCAGTTTAACTAATTAGATCATGGCTTAGCCTAAAAAATAATCTGAATTTAACACAATCAAAATTAGAGCATAGTTGGTTAAGAATTTATAAATTAATCAAAATTAATTTTAGTCTAATATATTTATTAATTTTATTTCAAATTTATATTATAAATACTTAAAATTTTACTTTCGTTTCCCCCCTGCACTAATGAGGTTGCACGTGATAGAGCGAAGCGAGTAGTGGGTAATCATAACGGAGTAAGCTTTGTTTACGTGTGAATTGTGATAACTTTGAAGCATGAATTGAAACATCCGATGCTTTAAATTTATGTTGAGGGTAAGATATGAGCTCTCAGTGGGTCCGGTTGTTGTACCCTATTTTTATTGGGAAACTTACGGATTTCTCGGGTCATCGTTCGTTCACCCGCCAATTCTACCCGCTAGCGACAGCCGCACATCGGCAACCCGATCCCAAAGTTTGGGCCCCGCATCAGCCGGCCCACCCAACTGCGCTTCCTCCCTGGCTTCGTTCCCGATACATGTATGCTAATTTTTATGATTAGGAAAGAGTTAATTTTCTATTACTCTTGACTCCCCAAACTACCCTCGGTCCTCTAATGGTATTTTCATGGTTTTTCTCTTTTTGATTTTTACAAGTGAAAAATAAATTATATGATATAAAAATGATATTTAAAATGGGTTTTTATTGAGAAATTATATAATTTTTATTATTTAATCCCCTTTTATATAAAATTGTTTAAAGTGTTTTCAAAAAATATCTTACGTGATGTAATTTTTGTTTAATACACCTTCCTGATATGCATATTTTTAATGCATTAAAATTTGTAACTTGAAGTTTCCAAGAAAATTCATGATATCAACATTTTTTCAGTAAGCAAAAGTAATTCCCTTAAATACTCAACACCCTTCACCAAAATCTATAGTTAATTATATGAGGTAAAAATTTTATAGGAGTTAAATTAACTAATGGTATTATGCCTCAATCAAGTAATATATAAGATAGTTTCTTTTAATGGAAAGATATTGGGAAGTTTTCTCTAAATACAAAATAGCAACAAGATGAAAGAAAATAAAAGTTGACAGGTTTCCATTGGAAGATTAGGTACCAAATTGTGACAATTAATTTATATGCTATAATATTTGGAATTAATTATAAAGAAGGTAGACAGAGAGTGAGCTAGCATCACCTAGACATTTAGCTGAAATCATTTTTCCTTTCCCTTTCAGACAATTCAAGTGACCCATTAAGCAGATGTATTATGAGGAGTTGGTATGTCTTTTGTGGAAACATGTCATTTTACATGGTGAAACAATTACAAGAAGTTAATTATTGAATGTGTTGCCCTCTGCAATGAGTAATTTCTATACAGAATTATGTCAAATTTTTAAATAAGTCAAGTATAATTTAGAAATTAGGCACATTAAGGGAAAAAATAAGTTATGTAATAGTCAAGGAAGGTGACAATTATTTACCCTAGTAATAAAAAGAATTCCAATAAAATAAAGTTTTAGATTTAAATTCTCGTTTAACTTAAATCCTTTTATAGAATTTACAAATCGAATGTACACAAAGTAATAGGAGAGTTTGCGTATATGAGTTGTTTGAGAATGTTTTACACCCTATAAACGAGAATTAACAATAAATTTAGGATAAGAAATGCTAAAAAAAGATTAATAATTCCGATGAAAAATGGATTGACGTGTATTACATATGCCTTATTCATTTTCACCGTAATCCAAACTACTATATATTTATCATGTTACGTATAAGTATTATATGATTTTGTATACATCTTTTCTTTTTTTGAAATAATTATTGTAAATTATTAGAGTAAAATATCTAACTCATTTAAATTTTTTTTTCATTTTTTAGTTTTTCCTTACATTTATTATGAATTTTGAAAAAAATAAAGCAAGCGTGTTTCTCAGACTTATAATTAGTTGAACTGAATTATTATCTAAAAGTGACACAAAACAAGGGTAAATTTACATGTGTAAATTGTCAAGGGGCGGAAAGGCTTGTTCGGCTTTGTGGGATGAAGCCGATAGTAGTGCTTTGGTAACCTTAAGGCAAAGTTACCGCTAACAAAGGAGAGGCGTGAGTAATGCTACTTTAGGGCAAAAGAAGTTGAAGTGTCAATTACAGTCTTTCCATTTTTTAATTGACAAACATACCCTTAACGATTTTTACATGTGCCCATGATCAAATTCTGGTTAAAAGTAGTGTGGAAGTGGCTAAAAGTGTCTTGAAAAATTAATGTGAAATCAATTTTTTAATACGAATGATTAAAGTGAGTGTTGATTTATGTCACATGGCACATTCACGTAGGGATACACGTGAA